TGCGCTTTGTAAGCTTTGTACCTTCAACTTCGTTAAAAAAATAAAGTACATAACATGTTTGCTGTTTTAAGAGTTATAATAACTTATACAATAAAATCGAAAAAAATAATAAAGTAGTTATTTCGCAGCTCTTTATATTTATTAGATTTCTCAACAGCTCTACCCGTTCTTATCTGATTGATTAATATATGGTCAGATCTCCTGATTTCTGTATTTCTATTTAAACCATTCTCACACACGCATTCCTAGGTTGTCTCTAAGGCATCGACTGTGGCGACCTTGGGCTACCACAACAAACAGCTAAGTTTCATTCTCTGTGGCCCACAGAAAGTTTTCGCGTTAAATTTCACAGCTTAAGCGTTTTGTGGCTGTGGCTTGTGTCGGCTTTTATGGTAGTGGGAAAGAAAGCTTTAGAGCACGTCAGTAGAATATTGTATCATGCCTCTCCGCTCCATTTAATTAGTATATATGTATAAGATTCACTTGTGTATTTACCGACTGAACGGTTCCGCATGACACAAATCCCTATTGACGGTGCAGTATTAAACATGGTGTATACTATAATAATAATAATACCAAACAAAACAAAGTTATTTTTAACAGACAGCGCGGGTAAAAAGACAACAGCAGAATACATTTTTCTGCCGCTTTATCAGAAATGATAAAAATTAATAAATTTCATTAAATTAAAATTTGCAATGCTTTTGTGATTTACAGTCTGTGGCAGGCAGGGAGGTTGGCTTTGTGGCGGCAGAAATCGCACGTTTGCGTTATATTTTTATTTTATTTCTATATGCTTCACATACGTTCTGAACATACATATTTTCATTTCATCATGTGCATGCCACGCTCATGGGAAGTGACACGTTGATGCTGCTGGGACAACCAACAGTGGCCGTCGAAACAAGGGCCGGAAAAAAATGACAATAATGACTTTAATAATCATAATACCGACGCGACGGGACGATTAAAATACTTCTGGAAAAACTAAAATGCTTTCCCGTTGGTAGCTCTCAAGACAATATTTACAACGAACATATTTCTGAAGCTTTAATTTAAAGGCCGAACCGAGCAATATTTCTAGTATAGTATGCATGGTATTTAAACGACAAATCTTGATGTACGAGGTCTTCTGAATCACCTTGATCATCAACTAGCCGTAGCTGACCATGTGGGCGTGCCACTCCTATAATTAAAGGGATGCATAAAAGCATACTGACCGCATAGTGGCAGAGGTCAGCCTGGTAAACAATTAAAGACAAGTTGAGACTGAGCTGAGCTTCCGTTGCTCCCAACCCTTTCTTATACATCATCTCGTTAGCTGTGGATAGGTTTGGATAGGTCGCAAAAATGGTCGAATATACAAGTATGTGGAGGAAAAGATAGCTGCAGATTCTGGTATGGGTGAGTGCTTGTTAAGGCATACGTAAAACTCATAGTTTGTAATGTTTGTTATTCTTCAAATTTCAATTTTTTCTGCCCCATAAAATTGTATATTTGTCTTTGCAGCAACAGCAACAGCTCCCAGGCATCAGAAAAAATTTCAAAAACAGTTTTTTTTTGTATTTTTTCGGAGAAAATACAAACTATGTTTTAAGTCGATCAAGATAATCTTCTTTATTTTGAGAGTATTGAAAAAAATAACATCATATGTTTTTGTGGGCGATAATACTTGAATACTGAAATATAGGAATTCTTCAAGTCACTGGTGATTGGACAGCAACGAATATTGCTGTTCTAAAAACATTTTCGTTTTTAGTTATAATTAAGTTAATGTTGAAAGTGCACAGAGTTTTTTAAATTTTAAAATAAAATTTAACGCTTGCATGATTAATTCCATAAGCCAACGAATCGAAGTAAGCAGCATAATATCATTCAGGCGTTGGTAAAACTTTTGTAAATTTGTCAATTAAAAGCTAATTTGAAGCCTCTCCACAAGAATGTCATTCTATATAAAATGAAACTAGGTTTTATAATTAAATATTTCTCTACTTGGAAACTTACATCATATGGGCAGCTGTGGTTCATATTGGAGTAAGTCCTGAATGTCTGATAAAAAATGTTACTACAGGATTAAAAGGTTTTAATAAGTATTTGCAAGCATCACACGTTAAATTGTAAAGAAACGCCGAATCAACTAAATATGAACCTGAAATTGTGCAAAATAAACTAAAAACGCGTTGGTAGAGTACTGGGTATACAAAATATTTTGCAAAACAACAACCATAATATCAATTCAACTCAATATGGCTACAAAATATATAGAAAGTACGCGATGAGTCTTTCGGCATACAAACGACCGAAATAAAGCGTTTTTGTGGTGGCCCATTTGTAAGCCAGAAAGCCAAAATCAGCAATTAACTGATTAAAAATATAAACAAAACAAAAAATCCCCATCAGGACTTCCAATACTGTAACTAAATTAATTTATGCTGTATCAGAGCATATGCAAGTAAGCCTTTTTCTGCCGTTGAATTGGTATTGGTGAGGATTTTTGTGTTGGATAATGTGCGTCAAGGGACCAGAATGTGGAAAGGGACAACAACGGACATTCAGCTGCAGACAGCTTAGACTACCTCATAAATCAAAATGTATAAACATTTTTATTATTATGCGTTTTATTGCGGGCGCACATTGCACAGCAAGGGCAATGACATTGAGGATGGCATTGGCGGTAAGTCCCTAAACATCATACATGCTGCCGTAAATACACAAGCTCAAATATTTGTTATGCTTTTAGCAGCGCATCTTATTAGCTCTGTTAAATAATGTGATTAAGATACGCACACACGCATATAGAGACAGACGCATATGGACATGTGCTCGAACTTTTTATACCGGGTACCCAAAGGGTACAAGGGTATATTAGTTTTGTGCGTGTGTACAGACCCCACAAAGTATATATATTCTTGATCAGCATGACAAGCCGAGTCGATATAGCCATGTCCGCCTGTCCGCCTGTCTGTCTGTATGATTGCAAGGATCTCAGAAAGTATTAGAGCTAGAATAACCAAACTTGGTATCCAGATTCTTCTGAGACCGAGAAAGGACGAGTTTGTTCATTTTTCCCGATGCACCCCCCACTCCCCCCCTATTTACGATTTTCTATAACTCCCGTAATTCTTGGAATTTTGAACTGGTAGACACATTCAGTTAGTGATATTATATATATGTACCAAGTTTCATTATGATAGGGTTAGTAGAAAGAAAGTTATAGCCATATAACCAGGCCAATGCACACATACACACATACAAGTATGTACAAGTACATACAAATGTATGTATGCATGTATGGAATATTTTATGTTTAATTTAGTTAATTAATTACATTAATTTTATTACATTAATTAATTAATTTAATTAAATTAATTATAGCCTGTACCCAAAGGGTGAAAGGCTATACTAGTTTTGTGCGCATGTATGTAACACACAGAAGGAGGCGTGGCAGACCCCACAAAGTATATATATTCTTGATCAGGATGAGAAGCCGAGTCGATATAGCCTTGTCCGTCCGTCCGTCTGTCCGTCTGTCCGTCTGTCTGTCCGTCTGTCCGTATGAACGCAAGGATCTCAGAAAGTATAAGAGCTAGAATAACCAAACTTGGTTTCCATATTCTCCTAAGACCGAGAAAGTACGAGTTTGAGTTTTTTTTCGATGCACCCCCCCACTCCCCCGCAATTCGTGTTTTTTCTTATAACTTCCGTAATTCTCGGAATTTTGAAATCAATTTTGGTACGTACATCCAGTTAGTACTAATGTGTCCGTGTGCCAAATTTCATCATGATAGGTCAATTCTGAAGAAAGTTATAGCCATAAGTAAAATCGCTGCTCATGCGCTGCCTCTGTCGGCAGCGCTGCCCGCAGCTGTTGTTGTTGTTGCTGCTTTGGTTCAACTTTGTGCTGCATACATACACGCATATAAACACGCATAGGTACGTGATGTAAATGTATGCTGTTAAAACTAAACATAAACATATATTCTAATTTAATTTAATTAATTAATTCATTAATTTTTTTTAATAATTTAATTTTTTTTTAATTTTTTTTTTTTTAATTTTTCTTTTTTTGTGGAAAGTACAGGCTATTTTACTGTCGGGCTTGCTCGACTGTAGCGTTCTATCTTGTTTTTTGTTGCATTCCTTTCTTGTTTTTACTTTTCAAACAGCTCCAGGCAATGACTTAACATAGGGAGATAGAGTGAGAGATTGCGTGGAAATCAAAAACTTAAACCAATCGGGAAGGATGCAGGTTTTATGCACAATAAGCCCAGAAACTGGCATAAATTGCAACTATCCGTTTTCTCATTAGCTGCAAGAACTCTATTATTCCTATAATATGATCATTTTAAAGAGTCAAGTAGGTCCCAACCAAGCAGGCAACCAAAAGAACAATCAAACAATCAATGAGTTTGTGAGTTTTTGAGCCTCGACCGTAAGAGAGGTGTTGTGTCAGAATCAAGCATCAAGAAATCAGATCACATTGTCGGTAAAAGTTTGCATCACTGTTGGCTCTCGTCGGGGGAAATGGACCGGATATTGTACTCGTTTGGCGATTTTCCTGCTGCTTGGTGTAAGCTTTATGAAATTTAAATAGAAATTTCCCGCTTAAATTTATTGAAACCATATTGTCGCATGCCCTGAGTATTCAAGCGTCAACCATTGGAATATATATGTACACATCGGTTGCATTGAATTGCCTCGGCACGACCGCACGACCTGCCTTACACAGGACGTGGTCTCTTAAATGTGGGCGTATCGCCATAAATATTTGCGATGTTGAAATTAAATTGAATGCTGTGGTAGGTCCAATGATTCAATGCGTAAGCTTGTGTGAGAATTCACATGCTTTTTGTACATGCTTTTTGTACTTATGTCGAAACAACTGATAGCAGGCTCAGTTATGCAGGCGTCTGTTGCTGACACTATGACAAGCCGAGAACTATTTGACTTGTTGTGCATACTCACACGATGTACGCCGCTCAACTAATAAGTATACTTACCAAGTTTTCAAGTTGCCTCTAATATCCCAGTTGCGCGTGGGGCCTTCCTGCAACGATTAAGAGAAAATTCAAGAAAATAAGTATAAGTAGGTGACACGCATACCAGGTAGGTAAAATGCATGATTATTCAAACTTTATATTTAACAAGGGAGAACGCTACAGTCGTGCAAGCGCGATAGTAAAATACCCTGTACTCTGTCAAGGTGAACTCATTGCCACACATATTTAGTTTAAATTTGATTTCCTTCACAGCTGCTTCCAAAACTCGGCCCATTGGAGCCTGGCCCCTGCAAACCTGGAACAGCAACAATTTAATGAAGAATTAATGGCACATTCACGCCAGCTGTTCTTCGTACTCGGCGCCGCAACCAATCGGCAACTTTTCAGCCTCAAATAAATAAAGTAAATAATTAGCCAGCCATTGACTGGCGTACAGGAGAGGACTGTGGAACGACTATGGCACGTAAACAGCTCTATGGCTTTAAGAGTTCAACATTGTATATTTATTTGCTTGTGTCAGTTGCCCTGACTGTGCTGTCAGAGTGTCAGATTATAGATTTGATGTGAGCACTTTGAACATTTTCAAAGCCAAAAGTCTATTAGCCCATTAATTGTTGAAAACCTTTTCCAATAATTTGAGACTAGGAATATCTATTTAAATAAACAAGACGTTAAACAACTGACATTAAATTGCAGTTACATCGCGATTCAAGGTGCAGCTAAAAAGTCTAATCTATTCAGAATATATAAATAACTCAAGCACTATTAAGATGTACTTCAGAACTTCTGCTTCGTTACTTGGGAAATTGGGGCTTATTCTGTACCATCTAAAATGAAGGTTAAACATTTTCCAAATATGTATGACTATTATTTCATCATTTCCCATCTGCGCATTATATATAATTGCTTCCAATACTAAACAAAAGCAACTTATACTCTATCTAAATAAAAATTTAATTTACTCACTCGTTCCAAATATAAACACAACACCTTTAAGCTAACCAAACGCAAAAAGCCTTTTATTTACAGCAAAAAAAAAAAAAATATATATATATACAAGTATATATATAAAACGAAAGATAATTTGGCGCCTTCAATGGAAAACATTAGCTAATGTGTAAACAAAAGTGAAATGCGCTGGAAAAACAAACGGAGCCGCAAACGGGAAATCAACACTAAATAGAATTGGCCGAGAGGCAGCATTTAATGAAAACAAGAAAACAAAAGTTTCTTACAGCAAACAAAAGGCAGCCATAAATGAAAGAGCGCTCCATGAAAAGAGTATGAATTTGCATAATTATTTAAAGTAAAATTCCTTCACGGATACGACAATGGCGGGCTGCGTTTTATGTGTTCTCATAATTGTGCGACAGTTTGTTTATATTACGTGGCAAAGTCAAATGGCGAACAACACTTTGCCAATGCCAGCACATCCGCACACACACGCACACACACACACATAGAGACATAAGAGCCAATCCTGGCAACGTCATTTCCGCTTCCACACTGTTCCACTGGAGCATTGTAAATCCTTTTATGAATAACGTAAATCACTGCAAATCCATAAAATTGCAAAAGAAATACGAGTTTGTATGTACGTGCAAAAATGAGTACGCGTCAAGCACACGATAGATACACTTGGAAAAAATCGATGTACGATGTTGGATTCAATTCAATTGCTTCAACACTGTTGTTTTGGATCATTGCGGTCATGCTCACATGTTTAGTTCGCAGAGTTAAACGACTATTGTTAGACTGTCGCTTTTTTGAAGACTCTGGCAATAAACAAGAAACAAGTTTCTAAAACCCATAACATATTTATTTTTCCACGTGTACCTACAATATAACAAAGTGTAGCTTCAGCAAAGGGTTCGTCTGACACATGGCATGTGTGACCGTGTGGCGTGTGCGTGTAGCCTTGTGTCTGTATGTGTCTGCTGCTATGCTGTTGAAGCAGCTTGTTAAAGCCTCAGGATTTAGCTCATCCCATTAAATAGCTGGAAAAGCAACAGCGGAAGCAATTTCCACAATGCAAATTTGTTAGTCAAGTTGCGCACTTCCTGTCATTACCACTGCTAGCCCTCACCCTCTTACCCTTTCTTACCTATTCGGTAAGATATGAGCATTCGTTTGTCAGTCAAATTTAACAAAATGTTGCGCTATAAATAAGTGTTTATGCCCCCCTTCCCAGCTCATCTTGACGCCAATGTTTTGCATATTAACTAAGTCCATTACATTTGATTTATCTGGTGGCGCTCTTGCCTTTTCCTACCTCCACAAATGGCTGGAACGTGCCTTTGTTTTCACATTGGCCTTCTGGCAAAACTTTTCGACAGGCATCTAGTAAATTTTCAGAAAATGTTATGCAAATCAGCGCAAACTTTGCATCTTCAACCAAAAACCATCAGTTCAACAATAAACAATTTCAACGACAGAATTCTATATGGTCTTGGAAGCAGCTGCCACCTGCGGCCTTTGGCTGATGTATGTGGAAATTTTACCAAGGATCCTTTGCAGAGATTGGCTTTGATATATATTTTTGTTTAGATCATTTCTCAATGGTAATGGCATCGCGTTGCATTGAAAAATCTGACTCTCTTAACCCATATCTTCCGTTTTGTGTGTGTGTGTGGTGGAGTTTATAAAAACCATGTTTTGTCTTAGTATTACAAATATATAGCAATAGAAACATTCTCCTCGTTGCTATGAGGAATACTATTGGGTCAAATAGGTGACCTTCCACTGAAAGGTAATTAATATAATGTAATTATAATTGAGACTCATAATATTTCAAGTAATGAGAGCAAATCTGTGTTTAAATTTCAGGAAATGGAATAAGTATTTTATAGCAGACAAAAATCGAAGTATTTCCTGCATTCTTTTTTATAAACATTTCATGGAATATATTGCATTCGGTCTGCAGTTTTTGGAAAAAAGGATATGCAAATTATTATTATGAAGATATAACCATATCTGCCTGTCTGTTTCATGGAATACTCTCCATATTCTTTCAATAAAAGCCAGATGAAGCCCTTGCATTTAATAGTAGCCACAGGAACTATCAGCCTTCCAGTAAAATTAATCATTTTCATGTAAAGCTTCGGTATTGGAGACAAAGTAGTAATGTTAGAAAAGTACTTTTCTAAGGGTATATTAGCTTCGGTCTCAAAGCATAGGGCTAGTTCCAACAACAAATTTCTGAGAATATGCCCGTGCTACTATTAAGAGCTGTTCTTTATGCTGTCAACAGCTTTATTTGAGCACTGAGCATAGCTTTTGCTTTGTTGGAGCTGACGTCAACGGTGCGTTTTATTAATGACTGCAATTTAGACTCCCATTATTCCTTGTCGCTGCCACTCAAGTATACACAAAGCTTAAACACTAATATTACACTACGCGAGGGCCTCCTAGTGGTACTCCTCCTATTGAGTGGGGAAACGGCAACTAACTGACTGTGGCAGTGACAGCACCGGAAATGATGTTGTCACCAACTCAAATCGCTTCATATCCGTTTAGTGGGAAATGAGTTCTTGGACTCACCTTTAAGCTGCTGACTTACTTGTTTTATCTCTAAAACGGCACGTTTTGTTCAAATATTCTTTTATGGTCAGGTTGTCAGCCGTTGGCCACTTTCAATTATATACAATTTTTAGAAAGGGTTTAGTGTGCTGCGCTATTTGGTCCTGACACGTGTTGGTTTTCTAAGCCGGAACTCATTGTATTCCTGTCCACAAAAAGAGGTCGTGTCTTAATATGTGTGTGATTGCGAGCAATGCCAAAACAGTTTTGTCTTATTTAAGTGTTTTTTAAACTCTAGGTGCTTTCTCAACTTCGAGTATTATTGTCGAGGTCGGCAGATACGTGTATATAACATTATTCAAGGTTCTTCATTTACTGTACTTCAGAATATATTAACTTTTGTAATTCTATTCTTTATGTTTTAAAGTCGAAAAAAGAAACATCTAAACATTGGACAATGTAGTTTGTGCTTATCAAACTTTATCGATATTCCAAAACCATCTTGAAATAGTTATAGTTATCTTTTCAATACATATCATCAAAATTTGAATAATCAAAAGCTTCTCGTATACTTGTACCTTTTATCATTAATTTAAATAGGATATGAGAAGGGTTATAGTTATAAGATTTTGACAGAACAGCCTTAGCTGTTAAGATATTAAGTCGGACTCTACAATCCGTCATGTGCTTGGTGCATAAAGTGAAGCAAGCCACTTTGTGGACATACATATTTGATATTTAAAGACAAATATTATCATTAAATACATTTCTCACTTGTACTTCATTAAACAAAATACGATAGTGTAAGACCAACAGAAATGTGTCTAAAAATGATTTTATGCAAATTTACGTATATTTATCGTTAAGCAAATGAGCAGCAAGTTGTTCAATCTATTAGGCACGTCGTTGTAAGGATTTTGTGGCTAATTACGTTTGGAGCGGACATTAAAGACTTTGTGTGAAAAAGTGAGAAGTGTTTGGAGAAGAGGCAGGATAGGGATAGAAAGGGCAATAGTTCTTGAAGCACCATCATGTGGCCAAAATGTTCGCACAGCATACTCACATCCCTAGTTGACCGTAAAAAGTTTAAAAGCGCTGACGTTGTAGATGGAAGAGTAACAAGTAGCGGAGGAGAACGGAAACGAAACGACACAAGGATATGAAATACAACAAAGGCGTAAACAAGCAAAACAAACAAAATAGAAAAAGTAAAAAAAAAAAAAAAACACACAACAAACTTTTGTAATTGGGCAGAGAAAAGCTTACAGAAAAATAAATCCAAACCAACCACGACACAAAAATGCACAGTCTGGAAGGGCGCAGGTTAAAATGAAAAATTGTAGCAGTTCGCTTGGATTTGGCTTTCCAGAACTACAGCAACAACAACAACTGGTTGAAATATCAGCAGCAACAGCTTTTCAAGCAGTAACAACAAAAATCGAACACAAAAGAAAATAGATATTTTCACTTAAATAACTGCGACAACACCGATATAACTATATATGATTGGTATGAGTGTGAATATCAA